CTGGTACTGGATCAGCCAGTAGTTCTCCTGTTTGGTTTCGCTCTTTGCCTCCATTTCCAGCTGAAAAACAAATTCATTCCTTCACAGCCCCAGATAATGTTGCAAGCAGTATTTAGCCCTATGACTCCCTTTCCTGACGGGGGAAGACGGACGATGACAATGCCTCATGCTGCACCAGGGACTGGCGGGAACTATGCCCCTGAGAGCTTACAGTAGCACTCACTGAAGTTAAATTAGTCTCTGGACCTGGACACAACCCCTCAGAGCCCTGCTCTGCTCCCTTTTATCCCCGTGCTGAGCCATGGACCCTCTCCCTGCAGCCAGCCCACGTGCTTCCTCATCTACGGCACATAAATAGGAGCCTTCGTTACCAGTATTTGCTGCAGTTCTTCTTCCCTTTGCTTCTTTTCTTTGAGCAGCTGCTGCAGCAGGTAGCCGAGAGCCTGGCGTTGCTCTGTGATCACCCCCTGCAACAGAAAGACTCTGGCATCCACACCTCCACACCGTGCGGCTGCAAGCCCCCCCCGCCGCGTTTCCAGCAAAGCACTTACCATACCCAAACCAGTCACAGCAGCCGTGGAAGCCCCTGTGCTCCAGGGCTGGGCAGGCCGCCCAAGTCCTGTCCTAGCAGCTGGCACGGCAGACCCGAGCTGCGCCCATTTCTATGGGTCCTGCACCGAGCAGTGGTGGGACCAGGCCCCAGCACACCCTGGGCAGCCCCAGACCGCTGCGTTTCCAGCAAAGCACTTACCATACCCAAACCAGTCACAGCAGCCGTGGAAGCCCCTGTGCTCCAGGGCTGGGCAGGCAGCCCAAGTCCTGTCCTAGCAGCTGGCACGGCAGACCCGAGCTGCGCCCATTTCTATGGGTCCTGCACCGAGCAGTGGTGGGACCAGGCCCCAGCACACCCTGGGCAGCCCCAGACCGTGCTGGCCTGCAGCGGCTCTTCATCACTCCACCACAAGCTCAGTCAATGGCATCGCAAGTGTTCACGGTCCCCCTCCTTAACTGAGAAGGATCGCCTGAAACTAGGTCTAGAAGCCTGCAGGTATGCAGGACAGGCGAAGCAGCAACCTCCCCACACCTTTGGGACGTTTGCGTTCGTTGGGGTCTCACGTCAAGCACTGCCGGGTACCAGGGCAAGGTAAATCATCACCTTCATCAAGGTAAATCATGAGGAGAGGTTAATTGTCTCAGGAACGTGAGACCACGTGGCATCTCTGCATGGGTCAGTCCCAGGGAGCTCACACCTGCTGGAGGATCATTAACTGAGCAGAGGCCAGCAGTCATCGGCCACAAGGCCTTCAGGTGTCCATGGACAAAGGGACAGGGATTCCGCTAGAAGGCTGACCTCCTAAAGGAGAAGTGTGGGGAAACCTTCGCTGATCAGCACCTGGACCCTACGCAGGGACGAGGTCCTCTTTTTAAGCAGGAGACAGGAACGCCTGCCTCTCACAGGCAAAGCCCACCATTAGCTATCAGAGACGCTCTGCCCTGATGGCGGCAGGAGAGCTCTGCTGCGTCAGGACCCCCACAGAGGTAAGAGGGACAACTAACGACACGTGGGAGCTGCTCCAGACAAGAAACCCAGGCAGCTTCAGCTAACCTGGAGATGAGCTCTTCTACCCATCTACACCATGGACACCCCACTGGGGTTGCTCTCTCCCAGACTGACCTTGCAAGAGACCTGTGCAAACACCTCCCCTTCGCAGGGTGCTTTTGGTTCTTCCCGCTTTCCAATGATTTATCAAGGTCATCACTAAAGCACCTGTACGTTGGGGGAGGAAGCAACTGCCTGATGCCCGGGCGGCGTGAAGCACGAGTGCAGAAAAGCTTCTGCCAAAGCACTTTGTGGGCGCTGCCCGTGCGATGGGGGTTCCATCAGCAATCATCTCTGCCAAATGGCAGGGGCTATCCAGACAGATGAAGCTGTTTATGCCTCATTTCTCAGCACCCAGTGCTGAAATTGCAAACATGCTGTGCTGTCTGCCGTGCTGCAGAGGGGCACGAGGACAGATCCTCGTTTTCAGCACTCCCCTGGAGCTCCTGTGGTCACCTAACAGGAGCCACCCAAGTCCAGTGTCATTTGAACTACATCTGCCTGGGGTTCCTTGGTCTTCCCTGCATGAGCTCTGGGCAGTACCCCACCATCAGGCCTCCGATGCAGCGTTATACAGAGGAGCGGCGTGAGTTAAGGTAGCACAACCCAAATCTTACACTTCAAGGTGTCCAGCACAGGGCTCAGAGGTGATCCTGGCCTAAGTCAGCGCTTACCAGCCTGCTGGGTGCACTACTCTCCGAAAGAATATGGTGTTTGCTACAGATTTCGGGCTCGCTAAACAGGTGACCTAGCCCGGCAAATAGCACGCACAAGAAAACAACTGACGCGAAGGCATAATAACAAAATTTAAGCCAAGCTGCCTATTCCTCACTGTGCGACTGCTGATGAAGTCAGCCCATCGAATGGTGGGACGGCGGCAGAGCAGCCTGGGAGACAAGGCTTAGAAATGAAGGGGGAGAGCTGACAGCCATCACTGGCAGGGATGTAAAACCAAAACGCAACATAACAACGTAAGAAGACATGCGATGCGCGGCAGGGAGGTGTTTCTGGGACAGCCAACGACTGGATCGCAAAGTCCTTCCCCACCCAGCAAACCTGGAACTGCCCGTTGCTGTCAGGGCCGGCTCGATTGTCTCTGCCCTGAAAATGCATCGAGATGTTTAGGAGCAGCAGCAACGTTCCCACATAAAGAGGGGTTTGTGGTGTCCTGTGGGTACGTACCCTTCTGACTAAGCATAAAACCATGTGGAAACTGCAAGGAGCAAAAGAAGCAAGTGGAGCTTTTGCGATCCCAGAGCAGAGAGAGGGTGGTGGGGCAGCCCCAGAGCCCTACATACCTGCAGCGTCTCTGTGTCCAGTTCTTGCCTCTTTAACTCCAGCTGTGTCAACTGCAATAACTCTGTTTCTATTAATTTAATCTAAACAGAAGATGAAACATTTTTTTACTGACATTTGAAATGACTTTAATTTACGCTCTTTTAAAATGAGGTGTAACTGCTGCCCTGGGCACTGCAGAGCCGCCCAGAAGTTTGGGGAACCTGCTGATGCCCTTCCGTGACACATGCTCTTAAGGTCACTCGTCGTCTCTTGCCTGAGGAGCTATGTCCCCTGCTCTCTAATTGTCTCTCTGCTCTAAATACCTTCTGTTCAAGTCTAGAAGCGCGTTGCAATCGGTTTGTTCAGCCAAACCTTTTGCAGCCACTCTGGAAGGCAGCGGCTGGTTGTCAAAGTCCTCCTAGCACCACTGCTTCAAACCGCAGATGAACTGGGGCAGAGCCCTGGTTTCTAGAGGCTCCAGCAAATCCCATAATGATACGTGGCTCTTTTGGGTGGGGCAACTGAGACACAGAGAGGTGAAGTGAGTTGCCCGAGGTCCCACAGCAAAGCCAAGCCGAGAGCCCAGCCCTCCTATCTGCCAGGCCACCTCCCATCCCCAGGCCACGCTGCTCGACGTGTGCCACGACATTGCTGCCGACCCCGGGGCTCTGCGGCAGGCGGCACCCAGGGCTCCTGCCCGCTCACTGCCTGGGCAGGATGCTGGTGGGCTGGGCTGGATTTCAGTAGTAAAAGGTCCAGCCATGGTACCAGGGAACAAACTCCCTTTGTTTACAGAGCAAGTGCAAGCAAATTGCAGGGCTCTTACTGAGGAACTCGAGCAATGGAGAGTTGTTAGACTCATCTCCTGGATTGGCCATGCACGATCCATAGGCTTCTAGCACGGTCCAGAGATTGGTCACTGAGTGACTCGATATATCCAAACCCTGAAGCTTATGCACCAACTCCTGACCTGAGACACTTCTGCTGGTGCCAGATCGGGAGAGGGTCAGATGAGGAGCACTGTGTCAGAAACCAGCCACCCATCCTCCTGCATCAACCACTGCTACCTTCCCATCTCCATGCATCAACCACCGCTACTTTCTCCACCAGCTCTTGGCTCTTCCTCCCCCAACTATCACATTGCACCTTCTGCAGAATGGAGCTCAGAAAGGCAGGCTGAGAATGGGAAAGAAAAGGTGAACTTATGGCTCAAGGTGCAGTTCCGATGTGCTGGATGGAGATGCAGTGGACTCTGGAAACAGCAGCCCTGCTAAGTACACAATCTGAAGGAAATTGTAATTGCACTTGCAGATCACCCCTACAGAGCCAATGCAGGTCTGTCCTCTAGCGACCACTCTCCAGCACTTCATCCACATTAGTGCTGAGACAATTGAAGCAACAGCAATTCCGCTACTTCCACGAATCTAAAACCTGCATTGACACTCCCTCCCATGGAGCTGGGAGACTGTGGTCTAACCACCACTGCCCAATGCTTCGTTCCAGAGCTCTTAGCAATGCAAGAGCTCTTCATTTCCTCCAGACCCTGCTCTATGCGCTTTGATCCTCCTCAGAAGTGTCTCATTGACTGGTGGCATGAACGGAGTAGCTGGTTGCTCTTTCCTCTGTTGCTGACTCACCTGGTTCCTGATCTGCCTGTGCATTAGATCCTTCTTCACCTGGAGAGCTTCAAAGGCAGCTTTCTGCATCTCAATCTAAGGGACAGACAGCATCCTGCTTAGTCAGGGCTGTTCATGCAGCTCCAAGCGGGCGAAGAAAGAAACTCTGCTACCTTGCAGTGACTCGTGTATAAGCACCCGAGCAGTGCTTACTCTGTACAAGTGTCCTGATTACCCTATGGCTTAGATCCCACAGGCCCAAAAGGTAAAACCCACTTTACAGAAATTATATTCGTGTTCTTCAAACACACATTTTGAATGCTCCATACGAACCCCACCTCTCATTTTCAGCAGCACTGAGCACCCAGGCTGTGCAATAGGGCATGGCTACCCAGCACTTCTGGAAAGCGAGCCACAGAGGTCTCAGGTTCAGAAGGTTTTCAAAAGGAGCAGAGGCTTTCAAAAAGCTTCCTGTAGGCAGCTTGCCCCAAGTCACCAGGAGACCTGCCAAACAGACAGGACTTCTGTCTCAAAATCCTATTAATCAACAGACCAGTTTTGCTTCCCGTGGTCTGTGCTGCTGTTCTTTCTGAAAATTTGCTGTCTAGTTAAGAAATACATACATTTTTCTTCCAACCACCCACATCAGTCTGTTAGAATACCAGAAATTCCCAAAGTTTAGCACTTAGTGTCCTACAAAATAACTTTTGCATGCAGCCCAGCCCAGCCACCGTTGCTCCTGTGAGCCACTCTCAACCCTGCTTTCGCGTGCAACTCTCAACCCTGCTTTCCCTCCAGCCCCCCAAAAAGGAGTTTGCTCCCTCACCTACCTGCTGCAAGATCTGACTAACAGCCTTGTTCTGATCCAGCTGTTGCCAAGCCAGGATTTGCTGGAACTTCTGGTCCATCTCAGCTAGGCTGCAAGAAGATGGATTTGCCATGGAGTTACTGCTGGGTCTGAGACTCTTGATGGAAAAAAGAGGAAAAGCGGGCAACAGGGAATCCAGGGATGAAGTTTGTTACGGAAAAAGGGTCACTGAAGACTGACATTAAAAACCTCCTTCCCTACAACCAAACCAAACCTGCACCACAGACTGAGCCAGAGCAGAGGCACCGCTGCCTGCACGTGCATGACTGGAAGTCCACGCAGGGGCTGCTGCTGCCCCGGTGAGCTGCTCAGGTGGTGAACTTGCACGTCAGTGTTCTGCACTGGAAAGGGAGCGCTGATGGAGACCCAGACAATGTGGCCATGTATTGCCTGCACTTGCAGGCAGGACCATGTCTGCCCACCGGCCTCCGTTGGGCAGCTCGCAGGCACACAAGGGTGTTTCTGTTCAGTGCCAGATGCTGACAGATTAGAATTCCTCACCTTCTTGTAAACAGAGACAGAATGCTCTCTGTACCTATAGCAATACAACGAGTCCTACGTGAATACAACCAGCATCCTCGAGACAACCCTGGGAGATGAGGAAAGGAGTTCTGTGCTAGAGTTTGACACTGAACTGGCTAACAAGAAAAAGACCAGTCTAATTTCATCCTCCACATTCAGCAATATGTACCAAGTAAAATAAACGGTGTGAAAAAGTGACAGTTAATCCAAAGTATGGTTAACATGCATAGTCTTGTGGTTAAAAGGTGGGTCATTTAATCAAGTTTGACGCTCCCTGTAAATTGCATTGTCACCTGCTCTTACACAGCTGTCCTGCCGTATTCCAGCGGCTGGTGGGGGCCCCGCTGCTGGGGTCCCTGGGTGTAAATATGGGAATTACACCAGGGACTACTGGAAAGAAAGGGACTCTACAACAGCACCACCAGCCCCAGACATCTCCCACCATACCTGGAGCAGGCCTGGTTGACGAGGTCTTGCCGACGAGACTCGTAGGTCATTTGGATGAGCTTGTTCTTGTAGCTCTCGGCCAGCATTTGTTGCATGGCAGCTAGGGTCCCTGGGTGTAAATATGGGAATTACACCAGGGACTACTGGAAAGAAAGGGACTCTACAACAGCACCACCAGCCCCAGACATCTCCCACCATACCTGGAGCAGGCCTGGTTGACGAGGTCTTGCCGACGAGACTCGTAGGTCATTTGGATGAGCTTGTTCTTGTAGCTCTCGGCCAGCATTTGTTGCATGGCAGCTAGGAGACAGAAGCGGGTGTCTAGAACAGGTGCTCATCTACCACTGCTGCTACAATCACTTGCAACTATCAGTGCCTTCTCTCTCATCCCCAACCTGTCCTTGCTTTTTCCACTTCATTCATTTCAGAGCAGGCTCGTTCAGCTGCAAGAATCATAGCTATTTATTGGGAAATTAGCTGAGCAAACTCCACTCTGCCTGTGCTGAGCCCAGTCACCACCTCCCGACCCTCAGACGGGCTGCGGCTCTGCCCATCCCACTGAGAGCAACCGTCCTTGGGGTGACAACACACAGCATTTCCCCTGCAGCCCCCGCGGATCTGGACACGGTCATCATGAGCGGAAAAGGCTCCCTAGCACCATTCTCATTTACCATACGCCTCCTGCCTCAGGACCCTCATCAGTTAACGTCTGTTTGGTACCTCTGAAATGTGAAGCACTTTGTGCGCTTATGTCCAGTGTCACAAACTCCTTGTGCGACACCTGGAGCCACACAGGGAGCATAGCTTGCACCTCAAGGAGAACCGGCAGTGGGCTGAAGGTGGAAGCAGTGGACAAGCTCTGGTTCAGTGCAATGCTACTCCCCGCAGCTCTGCCCCACTGCACCAAGCGGCACAGCAAGAACGTGGGGGTGACAGAGCATCTCCCATGTGGCTGTCACCTGTTCAGCACATCTCCAGAGGAACCAGGTCTTTCTTGCATCTCACCCCCCCAAAGAGTTGTCTGGACTTACAGGCCACTTCCCTTCTGCGTAGATGCTCCGTCTCCTCCTGTGTTATTGCCATCAGCTGTTCCATCCTTATTCTGCCAAACAAACAAGAACAATCAGCCACTCCTTCAAACAAGCGCTATCGCTCTTCTCCTCCACCCACCCAGCTCAGAGCCTAAAGGCTGGGCAGATTTACCCCGGCACCTGCTCAGCAAAGCCGTGTGCTTATCAGAGACACAAAAGTCTCCGTGATTTCTTGGTAAGGAACCTCTAAGTCTATGGGAGACAACGTAAATTTTGCTCAAAACCACAGGGACAATTGCTTCTTAGAGTGGAAAGCTGATCTTTCTGAGAAACAGAACATCCATGCAACGTGCGTACATTCTCACCAAACACAGTGTCAGTCCTTTTTTTTTGCCTTCCTTTCTCTTGAGGCTTGACGAGCGCTTTAAAGCCGACCTAAGTGAGTGGTGCCACTGAAAGCAGCCTGGCCTCCATCCCCACCTCCCCTGTCCTCGTCCCAGCACAAGCACACACCACCACTTACCAGATCAGGAACTGGCGTGGCTGGAAAACTATCTGACATACAAAGGGATTCTTTTCAGCCAGGTCAGTGTCCCCATCCAGTTTACTGTGCCACCGCACAAACAGCTGGCTGGAGGGAGGGGGCAGCATATAGGCAGGGGAAAGTTGGGGACGACCACTTTTGGTGACAAAGCTAGCTCGGAGTGTGGGCTGAATGGAGCATCGCTTTCAACGTATTCCTCCCAGCCCGTACACATCACTGGACCATCTTCATAAATGCCTTGATTTCCAACAGATGTAGGATTTCTGTTGGTCCTTGGAATACAGGGTTTTGTTCCCAAACTCCTTAGCTAAGACCATTCAGAGATGAAAAAGAGGTAAAATCACCATCCCGTTGGGTTTGCCAGGCTGGGTAAGACCAGGCACATCTAGTCCAGAGTCTCGCCTCCAGCTGCAGGTATGAGATGAACCTCCCCTGACCTAAGGTGGATTCAGACTGGTGGCTCTGAAAGGAAGGTCCCAGCCCTCTTCCCAGCTTCTTGCCCGTTTTCTAAAAGAGCCTATTTCAAAGAGAACTCACCTCTCATTCTCCAAGGATTTCAGAATGTCTGAACTTTGTTTTTGCCTAAAAAAAAGATAAACCAAGAGGTTTTCATTAAGCTGAGCAGGACATCCTCCTCCCCCAGAGGGCAGAAAACAGCTTTGCTCCTCATGCACAGCAGAGTGGCTTTAAGCAGAACGGTAAACCCTGCGTCAGCACCAGCCCAGCAGGAGATCCAGCAGACCTAGGTCAGTGGTACCCAAGAACCAGGGTTCAAATATGCACCTTCCTTGAGGAATTCAGTTTTTTTCCACAGCGCTGCAAAACTCCAACGTCACAGATATGTGTGAAACATGTTTTTTTAAGGCGCCAAATTTCACTTCCTTTAAATGGGACTTTGGCAGTTCAACAACTAAGGCACCACCTACAGACATTGATCCTGACCAGTGCTGTAAAACTCAGAAAGAGCAAAATGAACCACTCAGAATGGGACAAAATATCACGAGCCCCCAAGGGACAGAGATGACTGCAAGACACCCTGGGGCCCTACCTCTGATTGTCCTCTAGCAGCTTCTGGATACGGCTGGCAATGCCTTGCTCCGCTTGCTTCAACTGCTGCAGCAGCTTCAGGCGCTCCTCCTCCAAATAGCGCTGGTGCTTTGTCAGACCCTCCTCCAGCCTCATCTGGTCCTGGGCCAAAGCAAGAGGGAACCAGAGGAACGTGGTTTAGGGAAGGCAGCGTCCTGCACGGGGCTGGCTCAGAGGAGACCTACCTCTCTCACTGTCTGCAGCATCTCATCCTTCTGACTGTTGATCTGCTGAACAAGCAGAGCATGTTCTCTTTGCCCCATACTCAGGCGTCGCTCAAATTCCAGCTTCTCCTGCATTTTTTTTTCCTGAGAGGAGTAAGAAGAAAGATGAAATCAGTAGACTGCTGGCTCCGCTCCTTCCCAAGCAAGAACAAATTCTGGCAAAAATGTAGAACAAGGCACAGTAATCCCCCCGACTACAAGAAAGCTAGCCAAATGGCAAACAGGAGGCTTGACTAGGGGATGGAAACATTCTCTCCTTAGGAAGCCAGAAGCTGCTGCTCTTTTATGACAGTCTCCAAACTCCCCACAACCCACTTCATAGTCATGAAGCCGAAGTCCCAAAGCCGAAGTCCCTGCGCATCGACCCATACAACTGAAACAGCCAATACAAACACCCGGAGGGAAGCCCAAAATTAAGGTTGTGTTCAATTCCAGATGGCGAGGGGACTCCCTTGTCTGAAGACAACAGAGCGAAGGCAGCAGCCGGCTACGAGCAGCTGCAGCCAAAGGGAGAGGTGAACTGCATGACAGGAGCTTCTGATTATTTCCACGTCAGACAGAGCACAGGGCGAGAGACAGAGACCAATGAAACAGAAAGAAGAGCAAACTAAAAATGCAGCCAGGGGAGGGGAATGGAGGACAGAAAGAAGGAACAGTAAGAGAGAGAAAAGGCACTATCAGCCCAGGTGGGAGACACGGAGGGGCTGGAGTTCGGGGCAGGGACATACTGAGCCGTCTGTGCATGGGCTGCTCACACACGTCTGCCCACCTCGTGAAAAACAAGCTGAGCTTTCAGCACTGAGAGGTGAGAAAAAAGCCACCGGGCGTGAAAGCCCCCGGATCCAACTCAGCAAACACAGACTGATTTAAACTGGAACTGCTCGCTGGTGAGAGAGATGGCAGCTCATCGGCTGTGTGTGTCAGACGAGCCAGCCACAGATTCCCCCATGCTCCCACTTGTCTTCTGCAGTGAGGAGTGAGCAGCTCTGTGGGGGAGTTCTGCAACAGCTCAGTTCTCAAAACATTCAGTTTGAGCTGAGAAACTGGATAAAAGGAGGGAAAACAAGAAGAAAAGTGGAGCTATTCTGCCGAGAAAGCATTTGCAGGGGTTCATCCTTACCTTCCTCTTCTCATAATCCAAGAATTTGTTCTGAAAAATAAGCAGTATCAGCAGACATTTACTCCCAGGAGCAATTTTTGTAGATATTATTAGCCCACATTACACCTTCCCCTAACTGAGTACAGACATCAACCAAAGGCACAAGAAGATTAACATCGCCACAAAGTCCAGTCATTCGTGCATCTCCAGGGTCAAAGAAATCTGCTCTGTACTTGCTAAACAGCACGGGAATTAGCACAGCTCATGGGAATTACACGCCTAGCCTCACCTGTCCCACGTAGGGCTGGACATGCCTAGTGCTTGGCTGGGAATCACAACGTTCTTCTGCAGTTTGCTGTCCCCCCAAAAATCTGCACGTGTTACCACACTGCACACCCCGTGTCACATTGTCACCCCTGTCCCTTGACTGCACCACGGCTTTCAGGGATGGAGACAGTTCTTTAGGATGTGTGTTCCAGGAGTCAGCAGTGGTAACACCATCCCCAGCCATCAGGGAGGAGAAGAGCCACCCACGCCCACAGCGCTATGCCTGTTTCTGGGCGCTGATGCTCTCTTGATCCTAAAAGAGGCATCCCGTGGCAGGGAAGGTGATGAGGGATGATGTGCTAAGTGCTGTGAGATCCACTGATGGAGTGGAGAGACAAATCCAAACCCCTCTTGCACAACTTCACATGCAGTGGAACCTCACCTGCCACTCGCTCTCCTCCTCCAAGTACTTATGCACTGCCCTGTCCACCCCATCCTCCGATGTTCCTCCTCCGTCGCTCTCCAGCGCGGTGTGCAGATACTGCAAGGGAGGGTAGTACGCAATTCCACACTCTGAAAGGTATCAGAGACAAAACAAGAACATTTGGTGCTTAAAGACCTCCTTGGTAGCACGGCCGAGGGCTGGCTGGCGTGTGAGGCTGCTTCCAACCGTGCTCCCTCTCCCCACCGCAGGCGAGCGTCCAAGGGCTCCTTCATGCAGAATTAACAACCAGAAGCTCTGAGGGGAGACGCTGCCGCCCCATTCCCACCAGGAAGACGATCAAAGCTAACCTGCTCAGAGGGAAATGCTTCCTTCACACAGGTACTGACTTCTGCAGGGCTGCACACGCTACTGCCCATATTAAAATACGTTCTGACCATCCTTTTATTTCAGGAATTAGCACAATGTCTGGCAAGGCACTTCCTCTGCATAAAACCTCTTCCAAACCCTCCTGTCTGTATTAAACTCAGTGTTTACAAACTCACAGTACTTTATCTTTGTCCTCTCAGTTTCCCATCTGGTTTCATCTTTCTCTTAACAAACCAGCAGTCTGCAGCCCCCAAGTCCTTTCTCACAGAAAAGGAGGGGAGAAGGGACCTTGAAGGACTATTGATTCTATCTCCTTGTCCCAAGGTGGCTGTACCTGGACTATGCCTAATCCTCCCACTTGAGGAAACACAAAAGGGAAAACAAATCACAGGGATACGCAATGACTTCTTACGGGCACTCAGACAGTCTCTGACTCAGCTATTCTGGTGTTTTAACAAAATCGTTACAAATTTCAGTGTGACAGTAAGAAGCAAGTCTCAAGGAAGGACTTCTGTTTTGCTCTCTGCCAGCAAAGACCCATAACTCTCTGATCAGCGTGCCACATGTGCAGAGCACCAGAAACAGAGCCAATCTAATGTCTGTCCTTCGTTAATGCAATCTTTGAACATGCCGCGGCACCTAATGAGAGCACAGCGCAGTCCCCAGGTTCTTGCTGCCACCCGCAGACTCTTCCTGCTTACCTTTGCAGAGGAACTGCTGAATGGCCTCTGTACCTGCACTGCAAATATCAGGTGATGGGTAGGTCATGGAAGAAGCATCCAAGGTCAGCGTCTCCAAAAGAGAACACACAGAGCCGCAGGTTATTCTGGCAGCCCAGCCAGAGTCCAACTGCAGTTACCCTTGCAGCTCCCCAAAATTTCACTTACGGAGTGGTAATTTCATGTTGCCCTAAATTCTGACATAAATACACGTTTGTATTGAATTTCCACTGGGTGCTTGACACCTTTCAGAGGTGCCTCCACTGTCTCTTGTTTGGGAGCTTCTCAGCTGGTCCTTCAGTGGAACATCTCCCTTGTGCAGACTTGTCTATGTTGTAGACATGAGCACAAGAGGGTACAGCACTTCTCAATTAGAGAGATTTTCTACTCATTTCTGTGTGCTGGAGCCCTTGAGCATGATGCATGGAAGGGATGGTGACAGAAAGGACATGGAGAGAAGAGGACTACCAGTAAGAACAAGTGGAAGGACCACTTGCTGTTTTGTCCTACTGTGGCCACCAAAAGGACCTAACGTTGCCTCCTGTAGAGAAGGGCTTAGCAGGAAGGTCCAGAGAGGAACCACTTTGTCAGCACAGGGGAGCAAGCTGCACAGATCCCTCATCTCAGAGACTGCCCACAGGAGAAGTGAAGCCTAATGTTTGTGTTTGTGAGACAGGAGAGCATTTATTCACACCCTCCGTGCCGGTGTCTGCGTCACCCCTGTCGCCTGACATTTGCACAGAGTAGTACTGACAGGCTTGGCAGCCAGGAGGTAACACATCCATAAAAATCTTGATGCTTGTCCCATTTTGAATGTGTACTCCAGGGAGCCAGAAATCCACGGAGGCTGACAATGAGTCAGAGATCTGTCATGGCAATGGAGGCAATATCCCATCTGCTGATGTAGGATCAGCCTTGGTGGAAAGCAGCTGAGTCAGCCTGAGCCCACAGGCACAGTTTGTGCTCTCAGAGACAGCCCCGGCAGCAAAGACCGGGGGTTCACTCCCTGGGGATTACTTTGTCATGATTAAGCCATGGCAAAAAGTGATCGGAAAAGATCAAAGCAGGAAGGGTCTGCAAAAGCTGTTTTGGACACCATGAACCACATATAACCTTGTTAAATCCCCCACAGTGGGTCCTGCCCAAGCCCTAAAAATTCACTTTCTGTGCTGAATTTATTATTGTATTGAGCAAGCAGGAAGGGAAAGAATAAACAGCCTGCAAAGGGGAGAGATGGCTCAAAGGGGACGGGTGCGTACCTCCAGCGTGCGGATGTGAGCCAGCACCCGCGGCAGTTCTTGCAGCACGTTCTCGCTGATATCCAGAGTGCGCAAACTTCGCAAGCCGCTCACGGTAGCAGGCAGCTCCTTCAGCTTGTTACCTAGAGAGAGAGAAAAGCCAGTCAGCATCACGTAACTTTTCCAAAGCAGGAGCCAGCAAGTTTATCTGCAGGAACACCAAACCATAATCCTACGTATGACTCATTTTCTATACTCTGCTACGGGGACGGGGCTGTCACGGGTCACAGGAGGACTCCAAAGACTGCCGTTGCCCACCCAGGCAAACGGGGTTCAAGATGTACTCGCACACAGCCCAGGTGCACGGGTCTGGTAGTGGATCCTCATGCCGAAACGACCTCCTCAGCTGAGGTCAGTGCTGCAGGCTGGATCTGTGCTCTTTATCAGGAGAATATTCCTAACATGGAGTCGTCTTCCCTTCGGTGCAAGTACCAGAGATGGGAGAAAGGGGAGCGAGTGTGGGACTGCACATCCAGGGGTCAGAGGCAGGTACTGCGGACAGATACGGCAATGAACTGAGCTGCGCTTCCAAGTTCCTCGCCCTCCACTTCCTTCCCTGTTTCAGCAACAGCTCCCTGCAACTAAGTCTCCTTTTTCTCCCAAATTTATGGCACTGCATATCTGGAAAATGCCCAGGACTCCTGAAAAGAGGTATGGTTGTGAGCTTTGTGTTAGGGCCGTGCAAACCTGGCGGGGCTACGCAGGCTGACAGGACCAAGCTCTGGGTGTCGGTGGACTTAATCGTAATTCAGTTTATCCGGGCTGACCACTCTGCTTGCTTTACTGAACTGCTGCTGCCAAAGATCGACTATTTTTCTTACACTTGAACCTGCATAGACAGATTTCTTCGTTTTTTTCCTTAGGTTTCTTTAGGTCTAAATCATTACCCAGAGGGGGGACAAACCCCAGCCTGGGGCTCCTCTTGCAGGGCACGCACAACACCCAGCCCGAGGTGGGTCTCATGCTCCCGGAGGAAGACGCGTGCCTCCAGCCCTCTCGGCGCTCCTGGCCGCAGGAATGAGGCAGCTGGGTTCCGAAATGCTGCCCGCGTGCAGGCACACACGCAAGCTTCCAGCTGTTGAGATCGGGCATGACGACCCAACAACCTCCAGAAAGGCAATGAGCTGAACGGAAACACCATACGGAGCAAGCTGGACCCGAGAGCCGTGAGTTGAACCACAGGGCAGGGAACCAAGGCAGACAGAGCGTGCATCTGCTAAGAAGCAGCCGAACAACCCCAGTTATTCCTAAGAACTCAGGGAATTTTTAGGAATCATTTTCAGCTTAGATGTAGTTCCAACCCGAACCATTCTATGACCCTATGATTCTATGATTTCTCCTGCCTTGCCAACTATTTGAATTCAAATCTTTCTGGCGTTCTTCCTCAGCATTCACAGTGCAAACCGCGTGGTGCTTGCTTGGGTTGAAAGGAATAATTACCAATGCAGCTCAACGCGACCCAGGTAATAAACGGATAATGCCCCGAGCACTGACAAGCAACATGTGCCATACCTTTCACATTGAGCATCTGGAGCTGGGCAAGGTCTCCTATAGATTGCGGAAGACATTTTAAAAGATTCCTTTCAAGGTTTAGGACCTAAAGTATTAACAGAAAACATATTCAAGACATTCTTTACACAAGTCTCAGTTCTTCTACACATCTATGCTGTTGGGACAACTTTCGGGCCCAGAAGGACAACTTGAAATTGGTCTTAGACAATACTGTCCGGGTTAAAAAAAAATAATTCCAGAAGCCCTGGATACGGAGTATGTCTAGCTACCACATGAGTGAGAAACCCGTCACAACCCAGAGCAGCAGGAGGTGCTGAAGCCAGTCGCGGGACCCGGGAAGCAATGTCCTCCCCTCCGAGGCAGCACTCCCCCACCCCAGCTCCCACTGGGGAGCAGGGACTGAGCCTAAAGCTGCACCCCGAGCAGAGCGGACCCTCAGCATGCACAGCGACACGCTGCACTGAGTTCTCAACATAATCACCCCAGGGAGAATGGTAAAACCTGAGTATTTTGGGAAATCAAGTGCACTGGAAGCTCCAGCTCTGCTTGCTCATAGCGCCTGTTCGGCAGTGTGAGCCTTTGGGACTGACAGCCCTTGCTCTAAGCTGGGACTACATAGTTACTGTTCTGCTGCTCTTCTCCTGCTCTCCCTCTCCAACAAGCCAGTTCAACAGCGACAGTCATGTCAATGGGATAGATCTGACAATACGAGCACCATCATTTGAGTTGTGATTAATTATAAAACAAACAGCAGTAACCCCACATTCTTGCTGTCCTGTAACATGTACAGGCACTCGGGATGCAGCTGCAAATCTTTTACCTGAAGAGATGTCAGCTGACCAATATCAGCAGGCAGCGATGCCAGCTGGTTGTTGTGCAGGTCTAGAACCTGGAAGAGTAGACGACTTCATCAAACAAGGTTGGAAAAAGAAGTCACAGTGCAAGAATGAAGGCCATGAATTATCTAGCAATGGAAATTACTTCCCTTCCAACAGGGCTTTGAAAAGCGGCTTAAGTTCTCAAGGAAACATAGGCACTTCATTCTTGTCGGTCTTTTGAAAACTCAAGCCTCTAAACGTGGATAAACAAACAAGAGAGTAGGCAGAGCAGTGACACCGAGGGAGCTGCTCCACGTAACTGGATGAGCCAACTGGATAAATCACCTCCATGGAGCCAGCCTGGCAGAGAAAGACATTTTCTGCAGGATCAGTGAGCTGAACTGCTCCGTGGAAGTTGAACTGCTCCAACACCAGTACTGGCACAGGGAACGGGCAGGACTATGCCTGGAGACCTCCCTCCACGGGGAGAAGGGAGCTGCTGGGATGCCTCTGCCTCTGGTGGAACCACAGCACCAGGGTGGAAGAGCTGAAAGCCCTCAGCATTTAGGCCAGGCACGGCGATACAGCCCCATCACACACGGTCACCCACCACCAGTTTCGGTCACGTTCACATGACCCTCCAGTGCAGAAGATCTACCCCACAACACGCTCAGCCCTGACTGACCATCACTGCGAGAGCCTGTTGAGGGGGGAAGTGTGGGATTATGAAGAGGAGTCCTGGGACTCATTACGATTTTACAGAAACCGCTCAGTGACCGCTACCTGTCTACCTAGGAGGCAAACCTAGGAAAGGCAGGTTTCACATCTTGTTACCGATTCTTGGCAAAGACAGTCACACAGAAGGGATTTATTTGGGCTAGTGTGACTTAATGCAGCTAGAATGCAAGGAAAATGTTAAGAATCACAATTACCTTCACAGTTATGAGACTCATGAGGCTGCAGGACTTTGGAACTAAGGATGTCAGATTATTCGTATGAATAATCAGCACCTGAGGAGGAAAGATCCCATTGAAACATGAACACGAGAGACATTGCTGACTAGAACAAGCACATTTGCTGAGATTTAATTGTGAGGGCTGTGTAAGACCTCAATATCTTATTCAGTATCATGCAAAATATTAAAACAGTAAATGGATTTTCATAGAAGGTCAAACATTTAACATGAGATCTAAACAATGAGAAATACCGTTAGATAGGCTAAGGTAGAAACAACCATCGCATCTTTCAGGGCAGAAGTCAGCCCCAAAGCACACAGGCAGGATTAGTCCTACCCAAATTGCTCTCTATGTAGTATCGTATACAAGTGGCCAAATTCATTATAGGCAAGCTTCTTCTGAAGCAACACATAAACAACCAGATGCAGCCATTTCAAACACACCAATAATAGTCAAGCATAATAATAGAATTATCTAATAATTTCCGATTGCAACATTACCTTTTTTTGCAAGACTTTACAAGTCGCAAATGCCCCATAAGGAACCTAAAAATAATTTAAAAATAGTCATGTCAGACTTCTCAAGATACTATCTTTGTAAGCACTTCTACAGTGTCCATCTGTAAAGTGTGAATAACTAACTTTAATGAAAACAGAAGTGATTCTTAAAATTACTGGCCCTGGTTTTGACCCAGGATGCCAGTACTTCCCAGTTAGCTTCCATTTAAACAGCGTGCAGTGGCTTTCCACAACATGACAGCGTCGTGCGTAGCACAGAACAGACCAAGGTTTCGGCAGAAATTCAAGTCTTGGTGATTTAATATTCAATTAAATGACTCAAGAGTTCAGGCACATTTTCAGTTAGTCATCACACTAATGCAGTCTGTGGTTTTGCAACTTCGGCAAACACGCTGCAGCAGGCTAGATGAGAAAGGTGAGCAACAGGCAGGACTGAGTGTCCTCGTAAGGGCCAGGCTCTGCAGGAGAGGGGCACTCAGAAAAGGGATATGCCAGCAAATTCAGCCCGTGCCAGCCAAGGCTGAGCACCGTGACCTGTTCTGCAGCAAGGAACCAGCATCAGCCAAACTCTTGTCCAGAGTTAATTTTAAGACCAAACTGATGGCTGACTTTATTTATTGAAACAACAAAAGCTAAAAAGAAACAGCAAGACAGAGTTTTATGGTACCAATCCAAAAGGAGCCGCTGGGGATCCAAGACCAGCTGCGGCTATGAACGGAGCTGGCTCAGCGCATCCTCTGTCTGCCACCCCGTTACCCAGACTGGCTCGCAGGCTGTCCCACACAGCTCGCAAACCTACACACAAGATGCTGTTGGCTTCTCATCTTGGAACAAAACATCCCAAAGTCTCAGCAAAGCCATTTCATACTGCACAGCAGACAGCTATCCTCGCCAGGATGGCCCCAAATCTCTCCCTGCAATATCTGTTGGCAAAGGCAACCCATGACAAAAGGTTACGCAGGTACCAAGTTTTTAGAAACGCAAGACAAATTAATAAAAGCCGAAAGTGAAATAGAAATGGGCTTCGGCTTAACAGGATTGCCTGGCTGCCAGAATGAAAAGCTGTGTCTCCTCTGCAAGCCTGGCAATCTGTCACCAACCACTCTCTCTCCAGCAGACAGCTTGTTTCTGATTTAGTTAGCTGCCATGAAGGAAGCCAAGCTGGAAGTGAGATTTCCATCCTTAACCAGCAGCCTGGAACCAGGGATTTTCACTTATATTGAAAAATAAGTGTGGGTGGCAGACCTTGTAGCTCTAAGATTAGAAACAGTCAGCCTTTGGCAAACAAATTCCCTTATGACTAGCAAAATTAGGCCACGAGGTCCCAAACTTGGGTTCTACCAAGGCACTGGTGGAGAGTATGAGACCACTCTGCCCTTCCCACCTTGTCAGATGACAAAGGATTCCCAGGACAGAAAAGTCGTCGAAGCATCAGGTAGAACAGGCAATCTCCCACCAAAAAAGGGGAAGAGGCCCCCGCCTGAAAGGCAGAGCTCAGCAGATGTAGGAAGAAGTGGACCAGGAACAAGACCATTTCTGTCTGAAGGCTCGTAGACACGATACTAAATCTGACAGTTGGTAACAAGAAGCAGACAGAGGAATCAGACCTGTGAGCTAACACTGGAAGTTGTAGAGAACGTACCTCTGAGAGTTCACATTTGGATATGTCAAGAATGTCATCAGCACCAGCTGCTTTTGCCTGGAGAGAGGAGAAACGCACCCGGAGAATTAGACCATGCAGAAATACATGACCTCTTGCTGCATATTGACTGAACTACTCAACTGGCCCCTCCCTAGAAAATGCAATTACAGTTCTCTGCCACAGCCATGTAATTCAATGACGACGCTAGAAGCAAAGGGCGTGCTCTACAACGCAGCAAGCAAAAGCAAACTGCAGAAAACCCCTTTTGGCGCAATAAATGAATTTCTGCATGAAGAACCAAAGCACACCCTAATTCTGCAATTTTAACTGAAAGGACATAGCAAGGAAACGCTGGGTTCTCAAGCACCAGAGAACCATCACTTCCTAGGAACAAGAGCAGTGCCACCCTGGCCTGTGAAGAGCCTGCTGTGTCACTGGCATATCTCACCCAGCAGACAGACCTTCTTCTGAACTGTACACAGAAACCAAAATAACCTGCTATCGCCTTTTTGCTGCCGTGAGAGCTGCAGAGCCAGCTCTGCTGTGTAAGGAGGAGCAAGGACTCACTGCTGCTGTTCAAAAGTGGGTTTCCATGTTCAAATCAACTACATCCGATGCAGCTGCTAACAGCAATGAAACTGGACAAACCTCACCGTCAGCAGCGCTGCATCTCTGGAATTGTATTCTTAAATAAAAGGTACTGCACGAGGCAACAAACCCTCATGTGTTAATGCCTCTGCTAAGCCTTCAGAATCAGATATCCTGACCCTAAACTCAGCACGTGACACAAAACTAATCCTAGAATGGACAGACTAAGTTAGCCCCCCGCAGTCCCACAGGAGCTGAACAGAAACCCTCCAACTCAATAAATTCAGTAAAACTAGCTTCATTATCGGTACGTAACGAACCCTTCCTTTCCAAAATACCTTAGAGACATCCAACAGGCATAATTTTGTCACTTTTAAAAGGCAGGTGCCTCTGGGGTAGAGCACAGCAGATCCCCTATGCCAGCACCGGTCCACAGCTCCTACAGCAGAATAGGTGAAATAATTAAAGAAGATTGCTTTCAGAAAGCCAACTCGAAATCTTTGGCTGCTGTAAAGCAGGTAGTTCTGCCGACCTCGCTGGCATGACAGCAACCTGCTGAGGATCTATCCCAGAAGATCCTGGCTAAATCCTTAATTAAGTTAATTCTTTGAGTGATAGGAAGAAAAGAAATAATAATGAGAAGCAAAAGAGGGCACGAGGAAAGGCAGGTATGATGGGAAAGGGGATGTCACAGGTTCCTTGGCAGGAAAAGCAAAGTGGGAGATTTGCGAGAGAGAAGGGGCACGGAGGAGAAAGGAGTGATGGGCTGGCAGGTGGGGCGGAGGACGTTACATGGGCCCACAGCGGCAGAGAGGGGGGACCCGTGGATGGGAGGGCAAAGGGAGACAGGGAAAGCAGGAATTCTCTGATGTACACTAGGAAGACGACCTGCTGTCGTGGCAAGGTCAGTAACATGACGGCTGGTGACACAGGGGACGTACCATGTCACCTGGCATCCAGGACCAGACACAGAGAACAGAAAAGACCTCAGCATTGCTCACCAGGCACATTTGGTATTCAAGGCGTTTCCGAGCATCATCGCTGGGTTTCTTCTTACGGAAGAAGAGTGGCATCCTTAGTTCTGACGATAGCTCCGTCTCAGCGGCACAAACGATCAGTGTAAATAAAGGCAGAGGGCTCCTGGAGTATGTGTTTGCTGGGGAGCCTGGATTACAGAACTGTGCTCTAAAAAGTGGAGGGAAAAAAAGAAAAAAGAAAAAAATCACTGTCTCAGCAATTGTCTTGGTTTAAGCCGTTCTCTGCCTTGATCAAACAAGCAGATTCCAGCACACCTCCACGGTGGAAGCGTTAACACGAGCCACAAAAGCACGGCTGTGTCTCTGAGGTGGGTTCATTGTCTTGGTCATCCCTGGGCAAGAAAAATTAAGTCAAGCTGGAACATGTACAGAGAAAGGTTATTGAGTGATCAGGAAAACGCAGGGTCCAGTCTAGCATAGGAACTAAAAAAGCTGTAACTGTATCAAGAGATCAAGCACCAGGGACAAAACCCAAACTATTTAAACTCAAAGTCAACTCTGGCACAATAATAAGCAACTGTAAAATGTTCTAGAATAAAATCAGGCTAGATGTGTGAGAAACTCCTAATCCTGAGAGCAACGCAGCTGCCTTCCCCTTCCAGGGCAGGTGAGAATAAAGACCCCACCGCAGTTCAAAATACAGATAACAGTTTGCAAGGGACCCGATGGCTGCTGAGCAGCGCAGAGCCTCCTCGGGCATGTCATGCAGTCACACAGCCCGTCCCGGGGCGTCAGGGGACCCCAGGCAGACACCGGAGCCGGGGTGCCCGAGCTAAACTTTGCTTCTCAGCTCTACGGGTTGTCCCAGGTTAACAAAACACTCGATTTGTTTGCTCTCTAGACAGAAGCAGAATCGCACAGGAAAACTTCCCCCATTTTAGGCACACAGTGAGATGAAAAGATTCTGCTGAAACACCTAACAGCTTAAAGTCAGATTTTTAATAGGCTTATAAAGCCAAATCAATTTCTAACAGTCCAGTAACTGCCTGCAAAGCTAACAGAACCTAACCAGAAAAACTCTGACTACGAACCAGAGCCGATCCCTGCTGCCCCAGCCACGTGCACGGTGAGCTCTCTGCCCTCCTGGACACCTAGGAGCTTCTCCCCGGCCGGGTGTCTCCAGGTGAGATTGCCAAACTCCATCCCGGGCCAACAGGGCAGCCAGACCCTCCCCAAAATAGTTCACTACAGAACTGAGAGCTGCAGAATGTTTTCCTGTTAATTCAACTCGACTACGCAAAGACACCATCTGATCCAAGTGTCCAGGGAAGAGAAGTTGAACCAGAGAGAGGAAAGAGCGGATGGTGGTTAAGATGCCTGGTGAAATCAGGACTGCGGGTGGGCGAGGGGGTAGCAGAAGCTCTGGAAGAGGACTCTGACTCAGCAGGGGAGAAAAAGGGAGTGTGTTGGTGGGTTTTGTGGGAAGGGCAGAAAGCTGGACAAGAAATGGGGAGAGCAGCTGGTAATTCGATGAGTACCAGCTGGGATGCTGGGAAAAGAGAGATGGGGACCAGCTCAGCAATAAAGTCAAGGAGAAAAAGGCGTTCATCTGAGACTGCATGAGAGCAGAGGGCAAAAACTGGGAAGGCAGAAAGAATCCAAGCTGGGGTGTGGGTGGACAAGGGCTGCAAAGGGAGCTGGTGCAGGCGGGACTGAGTCTGGGCTGGTGATGAGACTGGGAGAAGGGGAGAGGGGCAGAAAAGCAACAGTGAGCTCAAAGCGGGGAGACTTGGCAAGAAGCCTTGGGCTACTCGAGGAACCTACGGAGCCAGGATCAGCACTGCACGGCGGAGGGGAAGCCCAGGCAGGAGCTACAGCTGCTGAAAGCCACAGCAAGCTATGAGCTGTGAAGCTTGCACCGGAAGTTTCACTTTGCAATGACTTTTAAAAAAATATTCTTTTAATAAGCAATTTTAAAAACAATACAAAAAGAGTCAACACTTCACCAGATCACCAGTGCGTTCACCAGTAAATGGCACAGCTATACAATTTCATTTAGTGCCCCGTGAAGCTCATGTGTTGTACGTAAAAAAGATGGTTCTCTGCCAGCTCGGTGTCTGCAAATTGCTCTCAAAGTATCCAGAAAAGCACGTACGCACAGGAAACAGCCAGAGGTGTTCCTTGAGCATGGACATCTCCGCCAAAAACTAAACAAAGCTTTATGTAGATAAATCCTTCGCGTAAAAGCAAAGTATAACTTCAGTCTAAATTCATCCAAGCAACTACCCTTCATTTCAGTCCAGAAACAAGGAGGCAACGATGTCCCGTTTCGCTGTACTGCTGCCATACCGCTCTGCTGGAACCAGCTACGAGACACAGAAGACGGTTACAAACTCATTGTGTGCGTTAGAATCAAACCCAAACTGTTTCATGGCTCTTTC